ATTTTAGTGTTTCAGTGAAAGCAAGAGAAAGGTAGAGAAAACCACTCAACAGAAAAAGTAATGTGGAACTCTGTAATGCAACTCTGGTTCCCCTAATCACAGCATCATGGGCAAGTAATTGTTCTATTTTCTTCATTCATTCTCTGGAAAAATGATTAGGGGCAAAAATTTACATGTTAGAAAGCTTTCATCTGGATCATTTCCCATGGCCCTCACGATAACCGTGTCCTCAAAACAAAATGATGTGCTAAGTGGAAATGGCCCCTTCTCTAAAGACATAAAACTAATAAATGAAACAAAAGCAAATACCATTAGTTTATAATTAAAATGATGTAACTATCTATTGAATGTCTACTCTATTCCAGGCATCACAGTTGGTGCTTTATATGTATGACCTCTAATGCTTGGAAGAAACATACAAAGGTTTTTTACTAGTAAAGAAATTGAGACTCACAGAGGTTATAAACAACTGCCCAAGATCACATAAGGATAGAACACATGAAAACTGTATTCCATTTTAGCAATTTAGAAGTATAGGAGAAGACAATAATAAAAAAAGCTAACAATTACTAAAGGTTTGCAACGCATCAGGGATCATGTCAAGAACATGATGCAGTCAATCCTCACAACCACCCAACAAAGGGGATATTATTGTCCCAATATGTAAAGAGGGAACTGATTAAGATACTCGCCAAAATCACAGCAAATTAGTGGCAGAACATAAGGTCTCTGGTCTACTGCCTGAGGCTTAACCAGGAAACAAACTATCCTTAAGATCAGATCCTTATTATTTACACAATAAGTAAATAAGGCATTATGGAGGAAAGGAGATTCAGAATGAGCATGATTTGAATAGGAGTGATCTGAGAACCAGGGGTAGAAAGAAAAAAAGTGAGAATGGACTCTTGGGGGCAGTTCTAACTAGAACCAAGGTCAAATGTTAGATACAGTCATTGTGAAACATATTTTAATTAAGTCTAGATCTTCTTTATGCCCTTGCATGGAGATAATCATTCCCAAGACTTCTTCACTTGGCCCTCTTCTCTTTTTTTCCCTGGCCATGGTTATCACCTCTAGTTGAGTATTTCCCAAATCTTTCAATTGCCCCCACTTCACATCTCCACAATGTTTTGACTCAAATTTCCAACTGCATATAGATTTGTTTTGATGATAATAAGCTCAATTTGTCTGAAATGAAATTTACTAGCTTTTCCTCTAGAGTAGTTCTTGCACCTGACTTTCCTAATCCTGATGGTGGTTCATTGACCACATTTCTACTCAGCAAAATTTGAAATACCAAACTCTCTGTATTTGACTCTAAACACTCTTTTAGACCCCAACTTCCAAACAAGTGCTGCAGATCGGACCTCCACCTCACCACACCTCCACCCAAGTCTTTTGCATCTGGTGTCTACTTTCTGTTTGCTCTATTGTACGTCTTCAACTTTCCATTCCACCATCACCTCCAGGCACAGAGCCTTCCTTACCTGTCACCCAGATTAATGAAACATTCTCATAATTGTTCTAAGTCTCTATTACCATTCTAATCTGACCTACACAACAAAACAAGGTCATTTTCCTAAAGCACAATTTTCATCATACCACTCCTCCTCAACAACCTTCAACAGCTCCCCAGGAATTACTAAATTAAGGACAAAAGCATTAGACATTTCATGTTTTGTACTGTTCAACGCAACCTACACTTCCAGGCTGCTAACCAAGAGGTTGGCAGTTCGAATCAACCAGTCGCTCCTTGGAAACCCTATGGGGCAGTTCTACTCTGTCCTATAGGGTCATTATGAGTCGGAATCCACTCAGGGCACACAACGACGACATTTCAAGAGTTTTTTTCCCTGCGCTCTAGAGATAATATACAATTTGCTCCTCCTGGAATAAGCACCACTCTTTCTTTTATCCGTGTTCTGCCTTCTAACTGGGACCTCCATTTTTCCATCTGTTAAATTCCTACCCATACAAAAATGGACATATGTTAAACAGAAAGAAAAATACAAACACCTCTGTATATTATGCTTAACTATGTAAAAAAAAAAAGATGCACTGCTTATCCTTTCATTTAAAAAAATGCAAGAAATTGATAAGAGTGTAAAGTATCAGAACATTTTTGGAAGAAATTTGATAGTATCCTATTAAACTGAAATACACTTAACCTCTGACCTAGAAATTTCACTTCTAGAGATTTATCCTACAGAACAACCCACACAATTACCCAAGGATTATTTGGAAAAGCAAAAACTGAAGATAGCCTAAATGGTTGCAAAAACTGAACTATGTATGTATGGTCAATCCAAGCTATAGTATGCTGCATATCCTTTAAAAAGAATGAAATAGAGTAGACAATGACAAAGATGACAGCTAATACCTACTGGACACTTTCTTCATATTAGACATTTAGGTGCCGTGCAAATATGAACTAACTTCACAAAAATGCTACATGTTATCTGCATGTTCTTAAGTAGAAGCATTCTCCTGCCACACTGAGGAATGGAAACAGACTTCAAAACCATATGCAGTGTACCAAAACGTGTATTACTAAGAAAGGAAAGGAAAAACCTACACACCATACCTTTAACCATTCTCAACAGTGGTAACCCCTTAGGAGAGAATGTGTTTTTAGGATGTGAAGGAGAGTGGACTTTCTCTCTTTAATCTGATAGTATTGTGTATATTTTTTAAAGGCATCTAGTGTTTTATAATTTTTAAAAAAATACCATAGCATATATATGTATGTAATGACTGTTTAAAAAATTGTGTTAAGGTATTAAGATTTTTTTTCTTATTTCTATTTTCAAATATTCTATGTTACTTTTACTGTTGTCTTGCTTTTTGTTTTTGTTTTTTTCAGTAAATAACACTTCCACCTCTCTTTCAAGGTCCATTTAAAATGCCATCAACTAGTATGTCCTATGATACAGTGACAAGTATGGACTTTGAATTCACATAGACCTGGGTTTGAATTTGCCAGCACCACCTAGTAATCCCGGGGTAAATTATTTAACCTCCCTGAGCCTTAGTTTTCTCATTGTAAAACAGAGACAATACCACCAGTATCAAGGACTTTTTTGTGAGGATTAAATAAAATGGCATCTATTTAATCTTAGATGTTAATCTAGCGCAGTGACCACCATAAACGAGGTCTTCCATAAAAATTACCTTCCTTCCTACCTTCCTTGGAGTCTTTGCTAATTCCCCCAGTCTGAAGGAACCTCCATTGACTTTGTTTTTGCTAATAAGAGTTTATCAGATTTTCTGCCACAATTAGTGATTTGTCTTGTGGCAAATTCCTAGATGGCAGCAAAAGTGTCCTACCCATTGATGTCCTTTCACACTGACCAGCAGACAACCTGAAAACAGCACCAGCTTTTTAAAATGTAATATTTAATTGAATTTCGAGAGAAGCTGACACAATGGCTTTATTGTTCTTAGCTGCCAGGGACTCGGCCTGACTCATGGCAACCTTCCAGCAGAAGGAATGGCTGCCTGGTCCTGCACTATCCCCATGATCGGTTGGTGATCAGACCACTGTGATTCATAAGGTTTTCGTCGGGTGATTTTCGGAAGTAGATTGCCAGGCCTTTCTTCCTAGTCTGTCCTAGTCTGGATGCTCCACTGAAACCTGTTCAGCATCATAGCAACCACACAAGCTTCCACTGACAAAGGGATGGTGGCTGCTCAAGAGGTGCATTGGCCTGGAATCAACCTGGGTCTTCTGCATGAGAGGCAAGAATTCTACCACTGAACCACCAATACCACCTTATATCAGCTTACTAAACTACTTATTAGACCTCATCCTTTTGAACAAAGCTTTAAAAAGTCTAGCTCACCATAGAAATCAATGGTTATTGCCACTAAAAGATCAGTGGTTGCCAGGGGCTCAAGAGGAGGGGAGAGGGATGAATAGGTGAAGCACAGGCCATTTTTACAGCAGTGCAACTATTCTGTATGATGATAGGTGGACACATGGCATTAAGCATTTGTCAAAATCCATAGGATTGTACAACACAAATTTTGAACCCTAATGTAAACTACAGACTTTAGTTACTAATAATGCATCAGTACTGGTTCATCAATTGTAACCAATGTACCCAGGAATGCAAAATGTTAATAATAGGAGAAACAGTGCACAGGGAAGAGGGAGAACTCTGTACTTTCTGCTCAATTTTTCTATAAAACTAAAACTGCTTTAAATACAGTGCATTTTTTTTTAAAGTCTAGATCATTGTTTGCAAAAAAGCAACAGACCAAATTTCAGGTTCCACCTGTGTACTATCCAAGTACAATACTAGAATCTTTCCACTTTTTTTTAATTCAGAAGGAAAATATATATGCATATCTAAACTGAAAAGCAAGCTCTGTAAAAGAAACGCTTCTGGCAATACATTTACAAACTGAAAAAACTCCTTTGCCCCAGGACAGTATAAAAAAATGCAAAAAAAACCTAAGGGCAGAGGTAACATCTTGACACACCAGAGCCTTTCTAAATTCTAAAGACACACCAGAGCTGCAGATTAAAAAAAAAAAGCTAACATCTCTAGATAAAAAAAGACACTTTAAAAACAAAGTAAGGTCCTAAGTAACCTTCACATGGATAATTATGCCATCAGACTTAAAACATAAAAAGTAATTCCCATACTTTAAAAAAAATTTTTTTTTTTTTAAATTAAAAGAAAAAACACTCATGGAGGAATAAAGTCGATGCTTTCAGGCTCCCAAAACATGTCTTTGCTTATTATCAGCCTTTCCTTGGGATTAAAGCTTGTTAGTCAGAGTCACGGGGCATAATTATTAAGCTAACTCCTTAGTGAACACTCATTAGCTCAACACAAGCTCGAGAACATAATTTGTTAATAAAGCGTCGGTCCTGTGTCGCCGACTGTCCCAGTTAGCACAGCCACCTACTCTCAGTTCTGGCGCCTGGCTGGATTCAATTTTCAAGCGTTTTGCAAAGTTTTGACATAAAGAGAACAGGACGCGACACTTACCCTGAGAAGCAAAGGCAGCCTAGCCAACTTCCGGTTTTCTTACTACTTGTATCACATTTCAGCAGCTGGGTGGAGCCCGTTCACCCAGTAATTAGAAGGGAACCTCCCAAACTAAAGTGCAAAGCAATTGCAACACCAATTTTAGTTCTAGAACTCCATCGCTTAGAATTAAGGGTTCTATTTTACACATGGGGACACTTTTTGCCAACTAGTAATTGTTTCACAGAGAAAACTGTGTTTTTAACAAGATGATTTGAAAAGAGTTTGTATAAATCTGCTCTATATAACACTTAAGACAAAACAGCCTAGTTGGTCTAGGTAGAGTTATCAAATTTAGCGAATTAAAATACTGGATGCCTGGTTAAATTTGAATTTCAGATAAACACTGAATCATTTCTTAGTGATATATTTCATCTGACAATCCTATCTAGGAAATAACAGTAATCAGCAAACTACTTCAATTAACTACAAAAGGTGTAAAATGATCAGATTGCTTAGGGCTGAAAGCTTTGAAAGTGTGGAAGATGTAATGCAAAAAGAGTTGTTTTATTTTGCAAAATTTACCCGGAAATTTAGGAGTTTCGTAAGCCTTTAATCTTTGTTTCTTACAATTCTTTTGCAAAAGAAAAATTTCAGGGCCAGGAAAAGACAATGTATCTGAAAATACTAACAGCTCACTTCACGCCGTGACTAAGGCAGGCCGACTGGAAAACAGATTATGACACGCCGGCCTTAACCAGTGATCTCTGGTTGGCAATAGAAACTAGTAAATTCTCTAAAATCTTTTTAAAGGGAGAGAAGAGAGGGGTAAAGAACACCATCACTTTAATCTTTCTGCTTGAGACCTAGTCACAATAAACAAAAGTCCCTCTCAATAGGATTTTAAAGAGAGGCCTTATTTAAATAAAGATGACCTAGAGCTGGTTTTCCATCCTAGAGCTGGCTGGAATGTGAATACATTTAAACTAAGTCAGCTGATCTTCTTTCCTTCCATTTAAACCCTCAGGTGGTGACATAGCTTTCTGCAATTATAATTAGACCCTCTCCAGAAATAGTCCCCACTGGACACTTTGCTTGCCAAAAGTATGATAAAAAGTCTATAATACAAATAGTTCTTAGAATTTATTATCATAATATCACATTCTAAAGCACTCTCAGGAAGCTGTATGGCATAGTGGAAAGAACTGAATGGAGAGGCTTAGCTCTATCTAAAACCACTCTTTCCTGGCTTTTATTTCCCTTGAAGTCCTCAACTGTAATTCCCCGTTATCACTCCCTCCCAGAAGTTCACCATTACCAGGCTCCCTTGCATCAGCTATTTGTCAGTTGTCACAAACGAAAGTAAAATTAAAATGCTCAGTGGAACTTAAACTCTGAGAAGTTGAAACTGCCCTACTGAATCGCACTCTTATGCTTCAAAATCAGTGGTTCTCAAACTTTTTGTTATTAGGACACCTTTAGAGCTCTTAAAAATTGTTGCAAACCCCAAAGAGATACTTGTTTATGTGAATTATATATATCATGTTAAAAATTAAAACTGATATTTTAAAATGTATTCATAAATTCATTTTTAAATGACAGTAGTAAACTCATTACATGCTAACAAGGCACTTTTTACTGTTGCTGTTATTATTGTTTTTCAAAAAAACTTAGTGAGAAGAGTGGCATTGTTTAAGTTTTGGCAAATCTCTTTAATACCTGGCTTAATAGGAAACATGGATTCTTAAAGCTGCTTCTTTCTATATTCAATCTGTTGTGATATTATATAACATATCATGTATCTCCTGGAAAATTCCACTGTATATTCATGAGAGAATAAGGCAAAGTACATATAACAAGAACTATAATTACCATTTATTGAGCACCCGTTTTGACAAAAGCGCATCTCAAACTACACTAAGAGAAAGTTATTATTATCCACATTCTACAGCTTCGAACACTAAGGATTTGAGTGGCTACGTCAATTGCTCCAGGTCAGGCAGACAGAAGTGGCAGACAGGATTTTAACCCAGAGCTGTTAACTTTCCCCACTGAGCCCCACTGCTAAGTCTTAATGAGATCAGAAGGACAAAACCGATGAACTTTTCTTTCCTGTTACTACTCAGCATTTCATAAAAGATTATACAGTAAAACCTGCAAAAGCCGGAATCTGAGTGAGGCAGAAACCTGTCAGAGAAGGAAAACGCAAATATTTTCCATTAAAGCAAGCGGTAGAAAAGTGGTAAAACTGCACCCTGTCAAAGGCAGAAAACTTGCGAGACCTGGAAAAACAAGGCAGTTCTGTTGAGTTCTGACTCTCATAGGTTTCATTGTATTAAGGGAGAATATCTCCAATAGATCAGACGCCTGCTACAACTCAATAAATCCAAACCTAATATCAAAAGCCGATTTGTTCTCACATGCATTTAAATATGTCCAAACCAAAAATCAAAACCAAGCCTGTTGCCATCAGGTTGATTTCAACTCATAGTGACCCTATAGGACGGAGTAGAACTGCCCCCATATGGTTTCCAAGGCTGTAAATCTTTACAGAAGCAGACTGCCACATCTTTCCCTGGCAGAGAAGGTGGTGGGTTCGAACTGATGACCTTTCAGTTAGCATTTGCGCACTTAACCACCACACAGCCAGGGCTCCTTAATTATGTCCTTCTCATGCAAATAGCCAAATTCATCCCCTCTTCTTCATGTCCAACATCATCCCTCTGATTTCAATGTCTTCGTTACTTCTCAACTGGACTTTAATTATTCTCTCCCTGCCTCCAGGTTCTCACCAATCTAATCGCCATCTCACATGCTGCATCATGTCAGTCTTGCTAAAGCATAACTCACATCATGTAATTCTTCTACTAAAAAGCCTTTACTTACTTACTACTTATTGCTAAATGAATGAATGTCCAGATTCCATAGACAGTCAAAAGTGAGGGCTCTCATCAGTGTGGCTTCAACCTATCCTTCCAACACACATGCTACACATCTCAGTACTGTTATTTGAAGATTTCCTCTGTTTGGAATGTTCTGCCAACCCTCAATCATTTTCAGAAGTCTAATGTATTTAAGGAGTCCTGGGTGGCATGAACAGTAAACACTTAGCTACAGGTAGGAAGGTTGACAGTTCAAACCTACCTAGAGTCAACTCAGAAGACAGGCCTAGTGATCTGCTTCCAAAAGGTTACAGCCTTGAAAACCGTATGGAGCACAGCTCTACTCTGCATACGTGGGGTCGCCATGAGTTGGAATGAACTCAACAGCAATAACAATGTCTCTAAGGAGTCCCTGGGTGGTACAAATGGTTAATGCATTCAGCTGCTAGCCAAAAGGTTGGAGGTTCAAGTTGTAAAATAAAATTGTAAGTTTTGCTTTATAAAAATAGGGAGAGTTCTTCTACCCATGACACCAAGGGTCATCTCACTCAATGTTGTTAGAAATCTATGCACTGTAACAAATAAATAATCTTTTAGCTCTGCTTTAAACTATAACCTTTAGAAGTAGTTTGTTTGGTTCCACATAATTGTTTCTAGGTGACCAGGCTCGCTGAAACCAAAGAGATTGGTTTCATTATTTATTAACTTTCACTTGAAATTTATTCTTTCGGAAAACAGTCAAAATTAATGAACATATGTTATTTTCAAGATTAATGAACATACCCTATTTTTAAAACTTCAGTGGTCTTATAACTATGACTTGCTGATCTTGTGATTATCTTACAATTATTTAGCTAAGTTTTTATTTTGAATTTTAATAATATTTGAACACATGCTGTTTTTATCATAAATGTCAACCAATCAGAAATTTTGTTCAAACCTCCTGATAACTTTGTATATAAGCATTGTAAGAATCCTAATTTATCAGAGCAATCATTTACTCAGTGAATGATGTGTTGCTCAATTGCAAATTGTCTATTAAACCTGCAAAGCAATCTGTTAATGGTGTTCTGAGTTGTTTATTTTTGACAGAATCCACCCTGCGGCACCTCAGAAAAAAAGTCCTGGGGATCTACTTCTGAAAAATCAGCCGCTGAGAACCCTGTGTAGCACAGTTCTACTCTGACACACATGGGGTCGCCATGAGTCGGAGTCAGCTTGATTGCTACTGGTTTAATGTCTTAAGATCCAGTTGTGATTTAGAAATAATATTGGAGTTATTATTCCCTGTCTTTGAGCATAGAGAGTGTAACCCAGGTGGAGCTAGGCTCACAAGGACTCACAAGGACACATCAACTGGGCCCTGAGGTATAAAGACAATAGCTAAGATAATCTTGGAAAATATCTTTTAGGGAAATTTTCACATAAAGCTGATCAAACACAACACAAAAGACTTTCCACTCTTATCTTTTTCTATTAGCATTTAGTGAATAGAAATTTGTGGGACCAATGAAGACCATCCTGACTGTCATTACTGAAACCTGTACCGATGATTGTTAAGAAAGATAATTCAAAGTGTAGAATCAAAGTTTCTAGCCAATCTGAAAAGGCTAAACTTTCAATGGTTTTGTCCATTTGTAATGTTAATATATACTGATGTCTCTGTAATGGTCTTTGGACTCGGGTAGACATGGCTGTGGAGGCATGCTTGTCCATTTTCCCATTCTTTCCTATTCTGTAATAATCTTTGGACTCGGGCAGACATGGCTGTAGCAGCATGCTTGTCCATTTTCCCACTTTTGTCCTCTTGAATATATGCCAAATAAAACTTTCTTTTTGCTTTACCAAACTTTATGATGTTTTTACCCTACAACAGTTGCAGTATCTCATTTTCTACAATTCCTAAATCTAGAAATAATCTCTGATTTCCCTAAGCATTTCCAACATAGTATTTCAATTTCTTTTCAGCACAACTCATGATTTTTTTCCCCTACCTGATAATTATCTGTTGTCTTAGTCATCTAGTGCTGCTATAACAGAAATACCACAAGTGGATAGCTTTAACGAAGAAAAATTTATTTCTTCATAGTAAAGTAGGCTAAATGTCCAAATTCAGGGCATCAGCTCCAGGGGAAGGCTTTCTCTCTCTGTTGGCCTTCTCATTA